TTTACATTCTTAAGGCAGTTCATTCTGTTGTGGCGACCCCAAATAAATAAGGAACTAAGCTGAAAGATAGTGAGTGAGTAATTTTTAGTTATAGTACATTGGGTTAACCTAAATGAAAAAGTAAAATATTGCTTTAGTAATTATATATAACATGAATATCTACTATGAATATAACATAAATAAAATAATATCTATTTTACATGTTTCAACTAGTACAAAACAGCATTAATGTCATGCAAGTCATTAAGATTATAAAATCACAGTTTCAAGACAACAATGGACCAATTAGCAATGAACTATTTTCATCTGTTTTGTTCACGCGTCTCATCTCTGGCTCTGTAACCCTTTGTCCCTTATGAATCTCAGCTCAGGGTTAATGAGGTTAATGGTTACTGGGTTTCCAGGGAAAACACACTGCACACAGAAGTGACAACAGCGGCGTCAGTTACGGTCAGACTTGTTCAGCTGATTCATTATCTCTGTTTTGGGCCATGTCTTTCTGCAGCCCTCATCGACACCGCTTCATGTTTAGCTCTCTGGTCCTGTGCCAGCCTACGGTGGCACAAAGCCAAATTCTCCCTCACCGACTAAGCGTGGGCCAGCAGTGTCAGCTGGGTAGAAGTTCTTGTGAGGAAGTTTGTGACCTTCACCTGCTTTCTATATTTTCTCACAGTCATGTTGAAGGAGCTATTATATTTAACAAGCTGGTGCAGAAAAGGCCTGAATCATTCTGTAATCTTTCCTGAATCGCTTTGCAATCCTGCTACAAAGAAGCACAGCGGCGCGCTGATAGGTTTTAGGAGGGAGGTAATACCTTTTTTCTATAGGAATGGAATACTTTCCTGGTTCAGAGCGGCTTTAATTGTGCTTACAGGATTTAGCGTTTCAGGGCTTTACTTTGCTGTACTTTAGGGACAAAAACAAAACCAGCCACAGCGAAATGAGCTAAATCTCAGAAAACCTGCCTTTGGGGATGATCTCAAGAGTTAAATATGATTTATAAAGGTTTTTTTTTCCTTTTATGGCGTGGTTTGTTTGGGTTAATTTAAAATGGCTTTACATGAAAATAGCAGAGGTTTATAGTATTGTATGTCATTATTAAGATAGGTTGGGTTGGAGGGACGAGACGCGTACATTGTAAAGCACTCATAAAATATTTTTAGCCTTTATGGAGCTGATAAATGTTAGTTGATATATTCATGAACTTTTTGTTAAATGAAGGTTGAGATGTTTATATGAAAGGCCAAAGTTTAAGTTATAAGCTGATATTTTTTTTTCTTCTGCATAGATTTGTCTATTTTTTGCCTCCAATAGTTTTGTATAAACTAAATGGTCGTGTAGTGTGAAAAATGTTTTATATTAAAGTGTAAATATTTTCATTTTCTGTTAGGTGACCTATTTTGCGATTGTTTGTGTGGCAAAAACATCAGATTTTTTAATGCCTTTACATTGATTAAATTAATGTACGACATTTAAGTTCAATAATGAATTTTGTATATATTTATTTTGTATATATTTATTAATCAGGGGTCACCACAGGGGAATGAACCACCAACTTATAAAGTATATGTTTTTTTGCAGCGGATGCCCTTCCCGCTGCAACCCATCGATGGGAAACACCCAAACACTCTGAGTCACACTCATACATTACGGACAATTTAGCTTACCCAATTCACCTATAGCTCACGTAAAAAGAATAAGTAAAAGAATACAAAATCCAGTTTGGTAAATGACTAAATACTCAAATTTGCTTGCTTTGGTATATTATTACCAAGTTGCTCAAATTAAATGCTTAGCAAAGACAAGCGCATGTAAATGCATGTATTTTAAACCATTTGCCTGGAACATTTTGCATAACGCATGACATATGTGCAGAACAACTTCCCAAAAGACTTTGATGTCAAGAGGGTGAAGGACTGGGGACTTTCAGTAGCGTTTGTCCCAGCTGTGTTTTCAAGATGCAGTGCAGAGGGAGAGACAAAAGCCTTTAGGGAATCCAACATACTGTACAGGCCAATCCCATACAAAAGTTTGGTTCTAATCTCCTCAAACAAAGCATGATATTACCCACCCTGGTAACATATACACTCATAAACACACACAAACACACCTCAGGGCTTTATAAATACAACAACCTTGTATTGACAAGAAAATCTCTGCCTGGTAAATACTGTACAATTACAATAGCAGTGCAAAAAGCCTCGCGTGTAAATTACCAACTCATGGCGGGGGGAGGGGAGAGTTGCTGATTAACCATTTTTTTTATCTTAACATTTTTTTCCTGTTAAGTGCGCTTACATAATCAGCAGCTTTTGATGTTGAAATATTTGGGCCAGGCTTGAGCACAAGACTAGACTTAAAGAAAGGCTGGTTACAGTTCCCGGATCACCTTTCTCTGGAATCTGTGCTTGATTCCTGGCATCAAAGAGCAAAGTGCGTGTCTTGCTGATTATTGTGGATTATAGACTGAGCCTGAGTCAGTTCTGTGACGTCTTTCACTGACCCTTGAGCTTTTATCAACAGTTACAGTTGAATTTAGATCTGACCTTTAGGGGTGAACTTACTTTAAAAGACACTTTTAAAACTGTATTTTATCTGATAAGGAATGCAGTGCATGTTAATAATCATTGCGATTACTAATAGTGTACTCTTAGTGTATTGTTAATTATCCCATAAATCTTTGACGCCTGAGACGATGGATGCCTTTTTTAATTGTTTATTTATTCACTGAGAAAAGCACATGACAATGGTAATGCAGCAAAATGGTTGATTCTGTTTATTATGCTTTATTGTTTCACTCACTGTGTTGTTTTTGCATGTCATGCTTACTCAGTGGGTCGTGTGACGTTGTGGTTAAAGTCCGAACTGCTAACTAAACCTATTTTTTGTTGTTTTGAACTTCCCAATAGTCAGTTCAAAAACTATTATGATTATGGCCTTGAACAAGACACTTAATCGCAGATTGCCTCAGAGAGATTGTTTCAGTGCTAAGTTTACTGTGAGTCATTTCTTCTAAAAACAAAAAGAACATCTAGTACATTTTAATATTATATCAATGACGATAAATCGATGAAAATGTCACTTTATATCATGTATTCTTTAAATAAGTAAAAAATCAGTTGTTTATTTGAAAAGTCCAATTTAGGCTCATTCTGAAAAAGTAGCCCTAAATACATTTCTGGAGATCTCAAATTATGTAGCCAGAGGTACGTATGGCAGCATTTCATCTTTAAAATAAACTCTACGGGGAGGTATAATGCCGTTCCTTTTTACACTTACTAGCTGACCGCTTACCTCCATATGGACTGCTTTTCTGCTGTTACCAGTTTATCCAGTAGTTCGCCATGTATGTCAGAGAAGAACTTTTACAGACAGCGGGTAAGAAAAAAACAAATGGAAAAAAGTAAAATAAACAAGTTAATAACGAGGTGAGAATATGGTAAAAATCAGGCGAGGGGTTTTCTTTTTCTGGATTGCTTTTGAAAACAATATTAGTTGTGTTTAGGGAAGGATGAGAGTGAGTCAGTCTGTCAGTCGAGCCCATTGATTTACGTGAGAACATCAGGCGCGAATGGCACTCATGAGAGAAATTTGAGATCTGAAAAAGCATACAAAGCGGCCTCTGGTGGATTCGCAAAAACAATAACTGCATTAAAAAGTACCTCCTGGGATATATTTGGCACTCTACAGAAATGTATATAGTGGTACGTTTTCAGAATGAGCCTTGGTTGGAAAGTCCTACTTACCCCAACTTTGAAATGATAAAATATAGTCATTACTTTTAGATGTAGTACAAAAACAGTATACATATTTACTGTTGTTAGAATTTTTGTAAACAATTATTGCCATCTTTGTGGCATAAAACTGTCTCACATACACAGGTCTTTGTACATTAAAATAGGAATATTAAGCGAACAACTTCATTTTCCTAAATATTTTTCACCACACAGGGCAAATTTGCATTAGACTGCAATTCCCAAACAGCGCTGATGGGCGTACATATTTCTGCAGATGATTTACTGATAATAAACAATTAAAATGATGATAAAAATAATATTAATAATAATAATAAATCCTTAAATTTATATAGCGCTTTTCTGGAAACTCAAATCGCTTTTTTAAACATTTTTGGGGGGAACCTCCTCATCCACAACCAGCATCTATCTGGATGACGCAGTAGCAGCCATATAAAGCCAGACCACACATCAGCTGTAGAGGAGACAGAGTGATGAAGCCAATCATGATAGGTCATGATGGACAGATAGACTCATCCGAAAGAAGGCACTCAATGAGCAGTATAGAATTCCCTTCACTATACTGGGGCATTAGGACACACATAGTTTGCAGTTTGAGCACCCTTGCTGGCTTTACTAACATCACTTCCGGCAGCAATCTAGCTTTCCCATGTGGTCTTCCATCCAGGTACTGACCGGGCGCAGCCCTGCTTAGCTTCAGTGGGCAACCATGTGATAGTTGCAGAGAGCTTATGATCAAACATAGATATATCTCATTTACATTTCCTAAAGCAAATTAAAAATGTTATGTTGGACGATGTGTTCCTCTCGCAAGCTGTTAGTATATATTTTGCCCTAGGCCTGTTGCATCAAACAGGGGGCCTGAAAATGTAAAACTTCTGAAAACAGGTTTCAAGGTGCAAGTGTTTTTGAAAATTATGTCGCTATCGATTTATGTACACTACCAAAGCCAAAATTGTTAAAGTGATAATGGAATGAGCATGCGAATTACAGTTCAGTCCATAAATATGCATATCTACAACTAATACAACAATTGTGGACCACAGGACTGCAAGTGCACGGACATCTAATGTTTCTTTACTAACTGACAGTGCTGCCTACTGGCCTGGCAATCATATTAGATAGATCTGTTTCAGATAGATTGTTTGAAACTTTTTATTTACTAAAGAAATTTGGTCCGTGCACATTTTCCCCTCTTCCATCAGTTGTTTGAGCTTGTCCTACCTCGTTTTTGTTTCACCACAGGCGAGAAAGTGGAAAATGCTCAGTCGACATCTCAACGACAGTAAAGTGAAGGAGGTAGAGCCAGAGGGGCATGTGATCTGCCCCTGGACAATGTCGCCCCTGCTGGGAAGCCCTGTACTGCTGGAATGCTGCATTTGCAATGGACCGTACATCACTTACGGGCATGAAGAAGCCTGGCAACCACGTCAGCGCACACAGGTCAGCACTAAAACACTATCACATGCACATAAACACATACCAGCTACATATCTAATGCACAAACGCATGAGCGTATTTGCATTAGAAAACAAAATACAGCTTTGTATTTAAAGTGTTTGCTGTTACGCATTCAGAATTTTCCTTCAGTGGTTTCCTACAATAGGTTACAATGTTTTCAAAGTCTAAAAATGAATTATTTACATTTTCTCATGACATATACTAGGGATATCCAGATCCTATTATGTGATCAGAAATGGAGCCCAATCCCGCAGTTTCAGATTTGATCGAAATCGAACGTTACCTCCCAATCAGGACTCAAGTATATATATATTCTCATTATTTTTAACAGATTATGCAGTGGCACAGAGTTAGACCTCTTTCTTGACTTCACACAGAAACAGCAAAGAATGCGGCATGACATCACTTTGTTGCAGAGACGCTATGGGTTAAATGCCGGCAAAGTAGAACTCGGAAGCAGCTTGGAGTCCAAAAGTGAAGAATTGATGTCATTTATTACTTAATTGTTCAAGCTACCTCACAGAAGTGCTCTGTTTGTTAACAGAGTTGTTGATTGTTAAAATAAGGTGAATTCAATTAAAAATAAGGATCATCCTGGATCTGTTCCTTCGCTCTTCTTAATTTATTAATGTAATATAGAAGAATCAAAATGGGTTTTGGTATCGGTATACTCAAAATCAAATGACTTGGAATCGAGGGCAAAAAAACCTGATCGGGACATTCCTAATATACATCATCATCAGCATTAGCTATTTCGTTTGTCTAGAATGATTTGTTTAATGATTTCCTCACTGTATACTTCTCCTCTCTGAGAGTTTACCCTGCTCTGATTGGTCAGATAGACCAGTCTGTTGAGATTGGACTAGAGCTGTAATCGGGCATTAAAAAATGAAGCCCAACAGAATTCAGCCCGAGCTCAATATTTTGATTGACAGCTTTGTAAAAAGCCCAAACTCATTTACAGCCTGAAAATATTCAAATGTGTGCATGCAAAATTTTAAGACTTCGCTGTAGTTGCCGGTGCAACCAAAACATAAAGTCAAGCCTCTTTAAAAAAAAAGAAGGTAAGCCCAAAGACCTTCAGCTCTAGATTGGACTAGTTACAGTGTGTGACAGAAACCAAATCCTCATTGTCATATTCGAATTTCTGCTGCGAAAGCTTTCTCTGCACCTGTAAACACAGGAACATGAACAGTAATGATGGCATAAAATCACATTCAAAGTGGATTTTCCTTCACTGTGCAGAAAACAGCACTCCGAACAGCAAATCTAAAAAAAGATCAAAATACATGTTAGATGTTGCAGACCATAGACTGACATCATGCAAATATGTTACAAACATAAACATGTTTGTGCAACAAGTAAAACTGCATTTACTGAGGATCCCTTCATACGATTCAGAATTTGCTGTTTTGTTTTGGACAATAGTTTCATTTTGGCGTCACGGTGGTGCACTGGGTAGCACAATCACCTCACAACAAGAAGGTCGCTGGTTTGAGCCCCAGCTGGGCCAGTTGGCATTTCTGTGTGGAGTTTGCATGTTCTCCCCGTGTTTATGTGGGTTTCCTCCAGGTGCTCCGGTTTCCCCCACAGTCAGAAGACATGCGCTATAGATGAATTGAATAATTGGCCGTAGTGTATGAATGTGAATGCAAGACTGTATGGGTGGTTCCCACTGTTGGGTTGCAGCTGAAAGGGCATCCACTGGGTAAAACATATGCAGTCATTCCTGTGGCGACCACAGATTAATAAAGGGACTAAGCCAAAAAGAAAATGAATGAATGAATGAATAATTTAATTTATCTGACGTGCACTCTGGTCTTTGAACCTTTATAACTTTTACTTAAAGAAATAAATTGTGCTTCTCGAACCCGGTATTTCACAAAAAGATTTTTTTTTTATCATTAATCAGTGGATTTAATAAAGCACCACAAATATTTAGACACTTTCTGGTTGTCAAATGTTGTGAAACGCATGCAAACATTATTTGTTCAGACTGAGCACATTTTCCATTTGTCTTCAGTCTTTCTGGCCTGAGCTTGATTTAGCCACTTAGCTGTTTACACAAGATAAATGAGCAGCCAGACACATGGGCTGGGAAAGCTTAGCGTAGGTGCACGTGTGAAGATGTTAATACTGTCCCTCACATATTTCAGCATTCTGTTAGCTGGCTCTCCAGGGAGCTTATTAAAGAAGTGGATTTGGGTAATTGCTCTTTCTGTCATTCTCTCTCAAGCTCCCGTTTGTCCTTTCTCGTTCACACTCAAAGCTTGCTGCCTGGGCAAAAAACTGTCTGCCAGATGTCACATGATTTCGAGACCGATGTGACAGTTCATATGAAACTCATAATTTCACTGTAATGAGTGTGCATGCTTGTGATAAAACTTTTTTTTAATTTTCCAGGCTCACATCTTTCTGTTAGCAAATCTAAAGTACATTATTAATGAAGTGAAGTCCTTCTTCCAATGTTGTGAGAAATGCAATTTTTCTACAAAAATGTTATTAATTAAAAATGTTCCAAAAAACGAACAAACGAAACAACAGTTCTGGGCCCCATTTCAGAAAGGAGGTTAAGTAAAAACTCTAAGTAGGTTAAGTAGAAACTTTGGGCTTTCCATTTCAAAATGGCAGGTTTGTCAAACTCGAGAAAGCAGGGTAAGTCAAGCCTGTTTCTGAAAGAGAGGTAACTTTAACTCAGTGGTACGGGGTTAATTTACTCTGTGACCCTAACCTGGTCAGGAGCAGGTTTTATTCTCTAAACTCTGAGTTTCTGTTGGTCTCCTCCCCTTTTTTAAAGACAAAGCGGTATTTCTCGCCTTAGCCTTAGTCATTCATTGGCAACGTTTCAGTCACACAAAGAACAAAGTTACGAGAATGGCTTGTCCTTTATTGGGACAATAGTTTAACTAATACCATAGTTTAAGCTTAACTTTGATATAACTGCAAAAAAAATAAAAAATAAAAAAAATAAATATATATATATATATATATATATATATATATATATATATATATATATATATATATATATATATATATATATATATATATATATATATATATATATATATATATATATATATATATATATATTGAATATATTGAATTATTGCTTGTTCTAAAAACAATTGATCAATAAAAAAGGCAGGCACTTGTAGATCTTATAAAAACACAATTTTTGACGCTTTATCTTAAACTGATCAACATGTGTAAAAGTGGGAACTTCAAATTCAACATTTCTACCAAACGTTAGGCTAAGGTTATATGTTTTCTTGTTTTGTCAAATTTGTTTTAGAAACTATGCATTATTCTATTTTAAGTAATTTAAAGCAATTACATATTAAATAACTTAAAAATTATGGCCAATACCCCACTTTTTCAAGTCCAAAGTCAATAAACTTCACACATTACATGACTTATTTATTATTACACTTAAAAATCTAAATACTTTCAATATTTTAAATGTAAACTTGAGCATACTTGAGCAGCTGTTTTCCCACACTAACTGTTTCTGTTTCACTGATGCAGTGCTTTTGCTTTTTTTTTTAAATATATGGTCATATGTGCTATAACTTTGCATTAGCACATCAAGTTCAGCTGGAGAAAAAAATGCTGATCTCTTTTTTCAGATGTTGTCATGATTACTCGTAATATCTGCACCCCATTGATAATGCCTTTTTATAGTCACGGTGTGCATGCTTAAAGCAGAATTCTGTTGTGCGGTGCTGTGAAAAGGGGCAGGAATAAACAAGATGATTAGACATTTAAAAAAGTGAGCGATTGCTCCATATTTTAAATTTCTGAACAGGGAGGTCATGTTTTGATCCTTGATTTGTCTCAGGCACTCAAGTGATGCGATTTTGCAGGTCACCAAAGCTTGAACTTTGCACCGCAGTGAACTGCGAAACATGAACTTGCATTTCCTGTCTGAAGTATTCGTGTGCGTATGAATGGAAGTCTATGGGGAGAAAAGTGCAGTGTGACCACAGCTTAACTCTGAATTAGTCCACTCAGACTTGATTGACCTAACTCAGATCAGCTGTTCTGAAACTGAAAACTAAGTCAATTCAGAGTTCAAGTTTAAACTCAGAGTTGGTTGAACCTTCTTACTGAAACAGGCCCCTGTTTTAAATCCAAAAAAAATATTTTGTATTGGTGCAAGCTGTTAATAAATCTGGCCCTATGCCTATTGCATTAACAGCATTCGGGGGCCTGAAAATGTAAACTTTTAAAAACAATTTCACCATGCAGGTTTTTTGAAAATAACATTACACTTTTTTAATTTTATTTCCTCGGCACTCATCTTTATGTGAGCAAAGTTAAATTCGATATTAATGAAGCAAAGTCCTACTTCCAATGATGTTAGAAATGCAATTTTGCTAAAAACAAATGTAAAGAAACGTATCACATCTAGTGATCTAATTTCCATAAGGACCCAATCCACGTTCTGACATGAAATGGGTTATAAGTCAGGAGACATGCTATACTTGCACTACAAAAGATTGTTTTCATTGAAGACACATTTCTCTGACCTACATCTTTTTTTTCCAGGCAATGGACCTCTACTACCATGGAGACCCTGAGTCTGATTATTGTTGTTCGTCTGACACCAGTAAGTTTGGCCTTTTTTTCAACCAGTTCTTTTCTTTCATTCATGGCCCCTCTCTCTCTCTCTCTCTCTCTCCCCCTCTCTCTCTCTCTCTCTCTCTCTCTCTCGTTTTCTTTGTATCTCTTCTCTCATTCATTACTTTAGGACCTCTCTGTTATCGGTCTACAAAGTTCTGTCTCTTTCTCTGAGCATTGTTTTGTTTCTTCTCCTTGTGTTTATCTCTCTTGCTGGAATGAGCATAACCCATAATCACCTTGATCCATGTAGGCTTAGAGTTGAACCTTTAATTACTATTTTTAGGCAAGCGCTCAAAACAGCACTTCTGAGCATAAAACCCTCCTACACTATTCAATCATAAACACCCGATGTCATCTGATAGTGGTACAAATACACCACGCACTTTCATGAAGTGCTTGTGAACGTGTCGTATTTGCTAAACTGCCCTTGACATTGATGACGAATGAGGATTTACATATATGGGTATTTTTCAATTAGGAATGTGTGTGAACATGACACCGTTTTACCTAAAAACAAAACTTTGATGCAGTATTTACCTTGGACCATTTATTTTGATGACAGTAGCATTTTGGAAGCCTGAAAATGCAGACTTTTGATGATGTATTTATAAGCGCATGTTTTTAGAAATGATAGCATTGTAGTTAATACCAAGATTTTCAGAAAACATGTTGTCATGCACATGTGTATGTGAGTGTATAGGCATTTTCATGATGGGTAACACTTTAGTTCAGGTCATAAATCACGGTATTAACAAACCATTATCCAACGCTACTAGCTTAATAAACTACCAATTAGCTGCTTATTAATAGTTAGTAAGGTACAAGTTGGATTTAGGTTTTAGGTAGGATTAGTGATGCAGAATCAGGTCCTACTTTTTAACTATAAATGAACAATTCATATCCTAATGATAGTAAAACCCAACAGTTATCTTTATTAAATTAAATGAGTGTAGTTAACTCAAAATTTACTGAAAGTAAGTTCTACTCTAATGAAAAGAGTTTTGAACTAAGTAATGAGTTAATTTAATTAAATGTAGTAAGTTCACAGTACTCACATAGATTGTTTTTTTTAACTCAAATGGTTTGTTGCGATCGGTTTTCACAAACGGTTTGAGTTGCCCTAACTTATTTGGTTTTACAGTATTCATTTTGTTTGAGTATCTTCATTTATTGGGTTTTACCTTGCTTAAATTTCTTCATTTACTCAAATGGATTAAGTTCACAGAACTCATTAGGATCAGTTTTTAAACTGGTTTGTTGCAATCAGTTTCCTCAAATGGTTTGAGTTACCTTAAATTTATGGGTTTTACAGTGTAATAAACCAGTAGTTTATAGCATGAACTGTGACCTAAACTACAAAAAAAAAAAGTTGAACTATACAAGATTGTTTGTGCACTTGCATATAGTGTTTCTTTACAATGTGACATCAACTATTGCAATGTTCATGTTAAAGAAGATTATGTTGACAGAATTTTCATCTATGTGGGAACCATTTTAGCAACACAATGCATCATTGTTTTACTTTGAGAGCAGAGGTTCTCAATGTCAGTCCTGAAGGTCCGGTGTCCTGCAGATTTTAGTTCCAACCCCAATCAGACACACCTGGGCTAGCTAATCAAGCTCTTATATTACCAGGCTTTCTAGAAACATGCTTGCAGGTGTGTTGAGGCAAGTTGGAGCTAAAATCTGCAGTACACCGGCCCTCCAGGACCAAGTTTGAGAATCCCTGCCTTAGAGGAACCTCACACTGGATGGTTCTAATATTAAAGGACTGAATATAATACATTTTCATTATGTTTGCCAGAATGAATCAATTTTAGGCTTTTTTAATGTTTCTTTTGTACAACATGTAGAAATGTATTGTATTGCACGAATTATTTAGCTATGAAAAGATATTGAATATAAAAAAAATGTTGTTTTTTTTTGTTTTTACTTTAGATCAATTTATACTTTTATTCTGCAAGAATGTGTTATTGTAGAATATAATTATACTACAAACTAATCTATGTTAAATAAAGGCTGTTCTCTGGAGCTTCCTGTTTATCACAGATTTGGTTTTCACAAATTTAGGAAAATAGGAACATACATTACTGATAAAGACTAGAGTAACTGAGAACTAAAGACAACATATTTGGTAACACTTATTTTGGTGGTTCATTTGAGTATTAGTAGACTGCCTGCTTAATATCTGTTGGTACTGCTCCTTCATCAGACATTTAACTGACTATAAGACACTTTGCAAGTACATGTCAACTTACACTAACCCTAACCCCAACCAAAACAGTCTACTTATAATCTAATGAAAATTAGTTGGCATGTAGGTGCAATGTAACTTAAACTGAACAAACCAACAATCAAAATAAAGTGTGAACGTTTATTTTTCATTATTTCAATTACTCAGAATGGCCTCTAATTAATGCCTCACCCAAAAATAGTATGATATAATACTATATCATACTTTTATTAAGCAAGAATTAGTATTGTAGAATATAATTAACAAAATATTCTACGTTAAATAAAGGTTGTTTTTTAAGCTTCCTGTTTGTGACAGAAAAATGGTTTCCACAAAAATAAGATATTAGGATCATGCAATACTGATAAAGACTAGAGTTACTGAGAACTAACAACAGCTTATTTTAATGATTTCAATTACTCAGAATGGCCTCTAATTAATGACACACACATAAATGGTCTGATATAATATTTTTTTAAATGTACTAACCATGACTTGGTTGTATAATAGCAGTCATTTAACGGCTATGATGATAAGCTTATCTGAAAAAGGCACATGGGAAAAACACTAAAAATAATCAATTCATTGCTGTTATCTTATTTCTGTGGAAAGTTGTTTTTCCATTTATGTCCTGTCATAACTCAACGCTGAGCATATAGGACAGGTACAGAGAGCTGACAGTGTCCTGAAGAGTGTGAAATGTGACTGACAAGCTGGATTTAAAGTACTTTCCCCAAAAATTATGGCTTTTGCGAGCACTGATGTTTAGCAGTTTCATAATGGAGCACAATCCCCATGTAGGCCCGAGAATCTGTAACTACATTACGTTTTTAATGTGTTTGTTTGTTATTCATGGTACATTGCTCATATGCTAAATCTGTCTACCTGATCTCATAACCCTCAGTGTCTTTTGGCGGAGTCACTGCAGGTGTGTGTGTATATACACACTTCGGTATGCATTCATGTGAATATGTGAATGTGTGTGTCTGAGGGCAGTTGCATAATGCTCTTGAAACCAGTTTATGATTCAAGACCACATTAGTATGCATAATGTTTTGGTCTTGTATTGAATGCTTAGCCTCATTTAAATGAGATTTTACGTAATCCTCATCCTCCAACATAAATAAACAAAGCGTTGGGACACTTAGGCCTGAAGCCCTGTTGATCTCTGTGTGCTCTCTCTATCCTCTCCCAGACCTCCATTCACTCACACACAACTTCCTATTTACACAAAGAATGTGAAACTGAAAGAGAGGATCTGGAGGAGATGAGCACAAGGACACTGAAGGGGCAGAGAGTCAAATGTGGGAGTACTTAACTGAGAACTAAAAGTTGAAAAGGTTTAAGATATTGCATAAAATGTTTGTGAAACTACTAGTGTAATGTATAGTAAGTGGGTTTAATTAGACTGAAGAAAATGATTCATAGGATTTACACATTTTTTTAAGTTAAGTGGTTTCAAACAATTTATGTGGGCTAAATTTAAACAAACAAATTAAATTGAACATTACTACATATCCAATGAATCATTGGTTGCAACACAGGCTCATTGTGAAAATGTACCCCATATTCATTTCTAGAGAGCGTGAATTATGTAGCCTGTAATGTGATGGGCGCTAACAACAGAGTTGCCGATTCAAATGCAGGATTTATTATGAGAATGGTCAGGCAAGCAATGATCAACACAAGAACAAACAGATGTATAAGGGCAATCCAGCAAAGCACAATCCAAATAAAGCAGACCGAGGGTGAAAACATGGCAAGGCAAAAGAGATGCGTTGTAATGTTCACAGTACAGATAAACAAGACTCAGCAAATATGTGTTTGTTTGCACTGTATTTAAAATCCATGAAATCAGTCCATAACGATCCTCCAGCTGTGAGTGTGAGCGTTTAATCAAAGTGAAACAGGAACTGGTGTGTATGAAGTGCATGACGGAATTTGTCATTCGTTAAGTGACAGAATTGTAGTCCAGGTGAAGGTGCCTGTTTACCAACGATCTGCAGCCACGAGATCGTTGATCATCATAACATAGCCAGAGCTACAGATGGCTGCATTTCGTCTTTAAAGTGAACGATATGGGGCGGTATGACACCGCGAAAGCTTCTGTTTCTTTTTGCACTATCAGCTGACCACTTACTTTTGTGTGGACGACTTTAATGCTGTTAGTAGTTTACCCAATGGCTTGCTGTGTACATCATCGGTGGACTTGAGACGCAGAGAGGAGTTGACCATGATGACGGTGTTTGAGTCTGGTGAAGAACGATTCCAGAAAGCTGGTAAAACAAAAACGAATGCGAAAATTTTTTATAAACAAGTAGATAAGGGCTTTTCTTTTTTGGATTGCTTTTGAAAACACTTTTGATTGGGTTTACAGAAGGAGTTGGGCAGGTTAATCAGTGCTTTTGAAAACACTATCGGTTGGGTTTATAGAAGGACATGGGTGGGTGGATCAGTTGGTCGGTCGGTCAGTCAATCATTAGTCGACAGCGGAGATCTTTGAGGTCAGCGGATGAAATTTGAGATCTGAAAAAGCGTACCCAGCGGCCTCTGGTGGATTTTTGAAAACAAAAACTTTAAAAAAGCGTACCTCCTGGGACGTATTTCGTGATCTCTAGAAATGTGTATAGGGGTACGCATTAATAATGAGCCTGGGTTACTTTTTTTAGTAGTTGCTGCATTTACACAAATTTTCTGCCGATAAAAAATGTTTTTCATCTTTTTAAGTAATGTAATTACTAACTTACCTATTA